GTCAGTCTAATTGTCTGACAGATAAAATGCTTCAAAATGCAACTCCTAAGGCTGCTACTCAGTGTGTGTATGTGTGTGTGTATGAGATACTTTAGGGATGACATTAATTTAACTTCATAAAAGGAAGGTAAAAAGGGAATATATTTAATTCTTTTTACATTTGTGAAGATTTATCAAACAGATAGTTATCTCCCATAAAAATAATACAACACCAAGAAATATTTGATCCTCTTAGTAATTTCGATAGATGTGAGAAAGATAAAGACTCAAAAATGGGATGCTGGAGCCCTGGCTGGTGTAGCTCAGTGGATTGAGCGCGGGACTGCGAACCAGACAATTGCGGTTTGATTCCCAGTCAGGGCACATGACAGGGTTGCAGGCAGGTTCCCTGCAGGCCAGTTCCCAGCAGGGGACGCAGGAAAGGCAACCATACATTGATGTTTCTCTCCCTCTCTCCTTCCCTTCCCCTCTAAAGATAAATAAATAAAATCTTTTAAAAAAAAGATATTTAAAAAAAATGGGATGCTTCGCAGACTGGAGACCAGGCTCCTAAATGAAATGATATAAATCAATAACTAAAGAAAGTTTTCACAGTGGTTGGTAAGTGAACATAGCACGACACAGGAAGCAGCACGACACAGGAAGCAGCCTTTGTGAGCCTAGTGCTGCCACCTCTGCATGGTTTGTAGTGAGATCTGCTACATGTTAAGATGGACTATAACACACGCCAGGTACCAAGGAAGAATACAAGAGAGAAGCAGATATAGTCCTCACCTTCAAAAGTTTTCTAACATACAAAGAGCAATGAAAAAGCTACTCTTTCCAAGTTCATTAAGGCAATCTTTTATCTTCAGATGCATGAATTCTTTATTATTACAGGCAATGTTATGCAGTTCTTAAAATTGATGATACATAATGAAGAATTATAAGTAAATAAAAAGAGAAGATGTCAAAGAGTGACCATCGTTTGAGACTGACCATTCAGTCTCACTGAAATAAAAAGAAAGTTGCAATGTTATTTTTTGCCTTGCATGTTTCCAAAGGTTTAATAAAGATGGAAATAATTCTGGCAAACTAGTACTCCACTAATAAAAATGCCACCTCACTGTAATTCAATAAGCTTTATCGACAGCCTTAAAAAACACTCCCAAGGTATTTCTTCCAGGCAAAAACAAAAACAAAACCTGTGGCAAACCAATGGTCCTGCCAAGCACAACAAAAAAAAGATGGATACATTTTTTAAAACCTCTCTGAAGGCATCTAAGAGCTACCAAAGCAGTGAGAATCTGAGAGGCCCCGATGTGGGAGAGACGGAAATGTGAGGCACTTGGTGATACTTCTCCCCTGGAGGCAGGAGCCAATTCTAAATCGCCAGCTCTGAAGCTTTTCTCAAGGCAGCTGGAAAGCTAAAAGCCCAAAAAGTGGCAGCTGAAAGGCTTTAAAGCAGCTGGGAAGCTTAAAGTTGAGTAAGAAAGGCAGCTGGTGGCTGAGAAGCTGAGCAGAGCAGAGTCCCTCAGTCTCGGGGGCTGGGAGCTAGCATCCAGGGCTCACGGGCAGTGGGGGGAAAACTTCTGGAGGACTGCACTCGGAATAGGCAAGATCAGGAAACTGAAGAGCCCTCATAGCAACCAACACCATCCTCTAGCTAGCTCAAGTTTGTGTTTCCCAGTCTTGATTTTCCAAGTCGTTTATTTTTAAGACAAATAAAACATCAAAAGTAGTAGCTATGTAAAGGAAATATTAATAAGTTGAACAAAGGCATCATTATAAGAATGAAAAAGCAGCCCTGACTGGTGTGGCTCAGTGGATTGAGTGCTGACCTGCAAACCAAAGGATCATCAGATTGATTCCCAGTCAGAGCACATTCCTGGGTTGTGGGCCAGGCCCCCAGGAGAGGGTGCACAAGAAGCAACCACACATTGATGTTTCTAGCCCTCTCTTCCTCCCTCCCTCTCTCTCTAAAATTAAATAAATAAAGTCTTTTTAAAAATAAGAATGAAAAAGCAAGCCAAATGACAGAAACACTTAAAACTGAATAACTGACAACACTCATACTCTGAATATACATATTTTAATGCCAATAAATTTATAAGAAAAACACAAATCTAATGAAAGATGAACCAAGAAACTGAAAACTTTATAAAGATAGATATCCAAATAGACACATGCACACACACATATATACATATACACACACACCAAAAACAGGGAGAGGTCCTCTTCCTCATTATTCATCAGGGAAATGCAAATAAAAACCACAGTAAGACACAAATCCAACAGAAGGGCTATATTAAAAAGACAGAAAACAGCAAGTGTTGGTCAGGATGTGGTGCAAATGAGACATCCGTCCACTTCCGTTTGGAGCAGAAATCTGTAACTGTCTGCGGAAGTTTGCCATTTTGGTAAATTGGTAGTTACGCCTGCTCTACAAGCCAGCAAACCCACTCCTGGATATACACTCACAGAAATGCTCACATTCCTGCACCAACCGTCAAGTACAACTATAATCCTAGAAGCAACATTAAAAACAGCCAAATAATAGAAAAGCAAAAATGTGTCAGTAGAAATACTGATAAATAAATGTGATATATTCCCATAAATGAAAAACTATAAGACCATGAACATGAACAAACTACTGCAACACACCACATTGGTCTCAGAAATATGACACTTTGCAAAAGACAGACACAAAAATGTATATATAACATTATCCCGTTAATATAACATTCAAAAACAGGCAAAATAAATCTATGGTGTTAGTGATTATTGGTTGCCTTTGGGGAAGAGTAGAAGTAATACCCAAAAAGAGGCTTCTGGGAGGTTCTGAGGGGCTCCTGACGTGCTGATAATATTCTCTCAATCTGTGCAGTAGGATATACATGTATTCATTTCCCAAATTTTACTGAACTTTGACCCTATGATTCGTACATCTTCCTCTTTGATGGTATAAGCACATGAAAAAATACTCAACATCACTGTCATTAGGTAAAGTCATATTAAAACCACAATGAAATATTTCATACCCACTAGCATGGCCATAATAAATAAGACAGACAGTAACAGGGAAGAGAAGATGAGAAATAGGGACCCTCCTGTAATGCGGGAGCAAGGTAAGATGATGGGGCCACTTCAGAAACCAGGTTGGCAGTTTCTCAAGTATTTAAACATAAACCCCCATAAAATTCAGCAATTCCACTCCTAAGTATTGACCCAAGAGAAATGACAATGCGTGTCCATACGATGCACGCACATGAGTGTTCACAGCAGTGTCATTTTTAACAGCACACGCCTGGAAACCACCTAAATGTCCATCACCTGGTATATGGACATACAAAATGTAATACATCTTTTCGGTGGAATACTACTTGGCAACGAAAAGAAATAAAATACAGATACATGCTATGCCATGAATAAACCTCAAAATACTAGAGTTAACAAAAACCTATCACAAAAACCCCACAAATTCCACTCACAGAAAAGTTCAGAAAAGGCAACTGTACAGGGACACAGAGTAGATTAACAGTTGCCTGGGACTAGGTACAGAAGGGGGATTAACTATGAAAATGTACCAGGGATCTTACGGAGGTAAGAAAATGTTGTCAGACTGATCATGGTGCCGGTCGAGCCACTTACTAAAACTACTGACCTGTATTCTTGAAATGGCTGAGTTTTATATTATGTTAAATATTATCTCAGTAAACTTGTTAAAGATTTCAAGTACATGATAGCAAGAATATGGAACCAACCTAACCGTTCACATTAAAGAAAGAGACTGAATTATGAGATTTCTAAATAATAGTAATAACATTCTATTATTTATATAATAGAATGTTGTATAGCCATTAAAGCCGTTTTTGAGGAGTAATGTCACAGGACGAGAATGTCGAGTGAGGAAAACAGACTCCAAACCTGTATACACAGTATGATCTACGTTTTCTCAATTTTTAAGAGATTAGAAGAAACATATCAAAATATCATGAGATGTTTTCTGACCAGTAGGATTATTGGTGATACACTTTTTTCTTTTCTTTTCCAAATCTTATAAATTGAGTAGTTCATTTATATTCAAGAAAAAATCACTGAAGAATATTTCATATCTTATATATCAACATTTATTTTCAATGACCGTAAGACATAAACCTTTAAAACAAACTCTACTCCTTAGAAAAGGTTTTAAGAAAGCAAAATCGGCATTTCCCTGCTTATCTCATCATGCCTGTTGTCTGAGGGTAGAACCCAACACAGCACTTAAAGATCTGGAAACCGATGACAGGACTGACTGAAATGTACCCTACCCTTTAGGCAAGTGTTACTGCTATTACTATGCAAGCAAGGTACTCTCATCAGCAAAGGGCAGGAGAGACATATGAGTAGACTATATAACTTTGTTATCCCCAAAAGCACAACATTTAAATATAGTTATTTATCCAGTCATTGCTTTGAAAAGAACCCTATATTTCTCCTAATATTTACCAACTAATTAACAAAATAGTGCCTGCTGTCTTGTATTAATCTCTAGATCACCTTTCTGGTTCCCACAAATATCCCCTGGGAATCAATGCAAATTTTTTAAAAAAGAAAAAAAACCCATGTTTTGTTTTTTGCTATTCAGCAATAGTTGCATTTGTTTAAAATTTTTCAATCCAGTGTTAGAGTCCTCTGAATTTCTGGGCACAGTCCCAATCATCACTCCACTTTTTAAACCTGTTCCCTTTAGAAATTCTGACTCATCTGATCTCATACGCCTGTCGCCACAAGGGTTAGACATTTCATTTTCTCTAGTAGTCATAGAACTAGCACAGTGAAAGTTTCCAAGGCCTTAAAATAAGCTCCATCAAATTGGTATTCCTTCTAAAAATGCTGGTACTCTCTTCTCCACTGCTTCTTAACACAAATGATTTCGGCTAGTCCTTTGCAAGAAATAAAAAGTCAGCCAGGGCCACAGGATGCTCTCTAGTGAGCGCGTCCATGCCCCCCTTCCAGACGCCCACTGCACCCACCTTAGCAGTGGTCAGAGCACCTGGCTGCCATTTCCAAACTGTGTCATAGCGCAGGCTACTTAATTTCTCAGTTCCTCGTCAGAAAAATGGAGGTGATCGTTGTGTGTCCTAGTTCATGAAGCTGTTGTAAGGGTTGAATGCCGCGGCAGGTATAAAGTCCTGTCCACAGCCAGTGCTCAGCAAACATGAGCCAGCAGTTCTCTGAAGCCAGGAAAGAAAAACATGTCCTCCACAACACAGCACTTCAGTGACACTGAGGATTCTACCCTGTCACCCTTGCAAGTGACTACTGTCCCTATCTCACTCCAAACCGAATTTAGGTCTGTTTCTCACTTCACAATTCCACACTGTGAATTCGACATACTTTTCTTTCTCTTCCTCTGACCACATCCACTCCAGCTTCTGCCCCCTTTATGTCAGAAGAGTGACCTTCAATAATCTCTTTGCAGAACAAAAGAGACATAGTTTCTTTGTACTTTCAGTGATTCAAACACAGTGGAAGTCTATATATTCCTTCCTAGACCTTCTACAAACAGTCTACGACAACCATGCCCAGAGTCTTTCTGTCTCCAGATGCAACTATACTAGAGCTTACCTGCTGTTTCACACCTGCTGCTGATGACTGTAACCGTCCTGAGAGCTCCAGCCACGTCATTTCAACAAAAATGGCCGGGACAACAGCCTTGTACCAGGCACTGTACTAACTGCTGGAGATCCACAGGACATGCTGTCTGTCTACTAAAAACAAATGGGGGACACACAAGCTGATGCCATGGTCTCTTCTTACTTTCTGTCCATCTGGACAATGTCACTGCCTAAGATGGTTCAAACATCATCTCTTGGCATAAGACAGTGTGTAAGACTCCCTACCTCACCACCTTCCCACCTCGCCTCCCCATATCAACCAGATACATGTTCTCCTGTGGTATAATACAAATTTTGGAGAATATGAAATCAGAATACCCTAATGAGATTACCAGAGGCTTCAAATAACCTGTATGTACAAGAGCCAACCATATTTTGCATTTTTATTTAATATTTTTATTTTAAAAAGATGCTAAAATCCTTGGTCCTGTTACATGTAAACTTAATTCCTTACCATAGTAAATTCCAATAAACATAAGAGATGTATGGAATTACACTCGTCCCCTCTTATCCACCGTTTCACTTTCTGTAGTTTCGGTACCTGCAATCAACTGTGGTCCTAAAATATTAAATGGGAAATTCCAGAAATTAACAATTCATAAGTTTTTAATTGCATGCTGTGCCCAGTAGAGCGATGAAGCCTCGCACCATCCCCCTCCATCCTGCCCAGGATGCAATCACTGCTTTGTCCTGCATGTCCTCCCTGTGTTTGTCCTACCTGCCCTTCAGTTACTTAGTAGCTGCCTCAGTTATCAAATCAGTTGCTGTGGTACCTTGGAGTTTGTGTTCAAGGAACCCTTATTTTACTTCATAATGGCCACAGAGCACAAGAGCAGTGATGCCGGCAATGCCAACGAGAAGCCATAAAGTGTTTCCTTTAAGTAAAAAGGGGAGTTAGTACAGTAAGACATTTTGAGAGAGAAGAAACCACATTTATATAACTTTCATCACAGTATATGGTTATAACTGTTCTGTTTTATTATTAGTTGTTGTTAACATCAGACTGTGCCTAAACTTTATCATAGGTATGACTGTATTGAAAAAAAACATGGTACATACAGGGTTTGAAACTGTCTGTGGTTTCAGGCAGCCACTGCGGGCCTGGAACACACCCCCTGTGGATAAGGGGGAACTACCACACTAAAGGTTTTCATGAGTGGAAACCTAAAAAATAATGTAAGAGAAGCAGCAAAGAATTAAAGAGCTTCCTGCTCGTACTATACCATTTCAACATATGACTGTTGAAGGGCAATGTTGGCTTGCTCTCAGAAATGATGGCAAATTTCTCTGACTTGGATTCTCTTTGACCATGATCAAAATAACTCTGGTTAACTTGGAAAGATCCTGAAAAATCTAAAGGCCATACTTAAAATACTTAGGGCACAAAAATCTATGAGGTAAGACTTTAGTTTTAGTATTCAAATCTGTTTGAGTACTTCAAGTAAGACTTTAGTTTCAGTACTCAAAACGGCCACCTGATAAAAACAGAAAACACCAACAGTTGTCACCTGCCAACTGATGTCACTTGCATATCCAGCTGCGATCCTCAGTCTTCAACCATACTATCCATGTATAATATCTAAATCATTGACATATACTTTTCAACTTGATTTACACGTTTCTTTCCATTTATTTCCTTCCTTCAATAGTTATCAAGCACCTGTTCTAAACCAGCTTCTGATTAAGCATAGCATGCAATGAAAAATAAAACATATATCTCCTGATATGTAACTCACAGGTCTAAGAGAGATACTCACTGTAATGGTTAACGTCACGTGTTGACCTGACCAGAATACAGGGTATTGGAATAAAACATTATTTCTGGGTGTGTGTATGATGGTGTTTCCGGATGAGACTGGCATTTGAGTGGGTAGACTGAGTAGAGAAGACTGCCTCCCCATTGGGGATGGGCGTCATCCGGTCCGCTGAAGGCCTAAGTAAAACAAAAAGATGGGGGAAAGGGGAATTTACACTCTGCCTGACTGTTTGAGCTGGAACCAACCCAGCTACCCTCAGCCTGTACTTCAGCCACTGGCCTTCCAGCTCTCAGAACTACACCATAGGCTTTCCTGGGTCTCCGGCGTGCAGAGGACAAATCGTGGGACTTCTCAGCCTCTATAATCATATGAGCCAATTCCTTGTAATAACTCATATCTATCTCCTACTGGTTCTATTTCTTTGAAAATCCCCGACTCATACCAAACATACATAAATGTACACACATATACAAAAGAACCACTGGATTATACCATGGTATGTGTGCTGTGAAGAGAACTTCAGATGTTCCAAGAGCAGAAAACAGAGAAAGCCAAATTTCTCATATATGTGTCCATATTTTCTTGCAACATTATCTAAATCTCATGTTCTAGGACATTATTTATCCATTCAAATGAACCCCAAAGTACTAGGCTAAAAACCAGTATATTTTGGTTTTGTAGTTATAAAACTCACTAGCTAAAGGATTCTCTACTAAACCTTGCCATAGAGGAGAGTTCTTGCATAAAAATGATTGCCTCCTATAACCCAACCTTATTTCCATATCTGTTATTTCTAAATTTTAATTTTCAACACAGTTTGCAGTGCATCCAACAATGGAGAGGAATTGGTCTAGTAAAAAGGGTTACAGAACTGTCATTCAAAATACTGCATATACCATCTCCCAACACCCACCCTGCCCCCACCACCTAAAATATCATGTCTTAGCAAAGAAGTGTTTTAGAGAAAATCTGCAACATCCACTTTAAACCTTTAGAAATGTAAGAAATCAAGGTAAAAATGGCTGTATTTTAAACACCAAAGAACAATTTCTCATCATGCATCACAAAACCACGAGAGAAAGGATTTGGGGTGAGACTGCACTGTTTGTTCATAATTGGGCTACCCAATGATTGTTTTCCAATGATGTTGCCATGCACTAAGGTGCCTGCTGCTAGTCCTCTGGTCCTCTGCTCAGAGATTAAAGCATCAGCAGAAGCTTAGCAAGTTCACAAAGTGCTGATGCAATTGACATAACTGGTAAGACCAAGGACCCATAGGGAATTCACTGGCCCAATGACAACTATACACACAATAGTCAGAACTGCAATTCCAGGATTTCCTCTTACACAAAACAGAAGAAAGAAGAGCAGTAAATACTGCTATATAAATATCATTGCTTATACTATGTAAAATTTTTCCAGAAAATTTTATTATACTTCATGTACAACCACTCCTCATTCAATTTCTCCTAACAGATATGGCCTAGGAGAAAGTGATACCAGAAAGTGCTGTGTACGTGCACACATATGTGTGTGTGCACTCAGTATGTATTCAATAATGGCAAGAAGCATCGCACTGGAATGACCCAAATGTAGAGTTTGTCTAAGGGTTGATGGAACAAATGTGAAAATTCTTCTTATATGTAGAATATTGATTATGTTGGAATTGAGTAGAATTAAGTAGAAGAAGCAGAATAGATTCTGGGAGGGACAGTATTTGGTAATATAATGATTCCAAGTTGCAAGTTTGTGTTATATTGGAGAAATAGAAAATTTATGCAAGGGCCACAAACTAAATGGATGCTTTATGTAATGTGGCTTGTCATTTGAGTGTTCCCTGTCTATCCACTAAAAAAAATAATAATTACCAGAAGGGTCTTTTCCTGGAACTTTATTCCAACCTAGAATCTAGATATGAACAAAGACTTTCCACAAATGAAATTCTACTGTGTGAGCTGAAGACATCATTTCTATTCTGGTGCATCCTATGCAAGATATGGAAAAATAATAGAACAAAAAGAAAGACTTTAAAACTCAGAATGCAAAAGAAAAACTATTTCATAAAAAGAGCAAAGAAAATAATAAAAGCTTAATTTTATGACATGTATAATTATCATATGATAAACAGAATAATTATCCAGAAGTAATCAAGTTAGTCTTTTTCAAAAAAATTGGATTCATTTTACCACTGTATCTAAGTTTTTATAGCTAATGCACAGTAACTGAGTTTAGAGTGACATAAATGCTGAGATTCTTAAACTCCTTCCACTTTAACTGTTCTTTACAACCAAGGCTGTACCATGTATCTCTACTATGTGGGGTTACAGAAAAAATTGAGTATGTTATAATAACAAGATAAAAACTATCTGTTTCTTAAAATGTTTACCAAGCTGTAACTGTTTGAAAACAAAAAGCACATAATTACTGCTTTTCAAAAGTGAACCTACCCAGAAGACTCCTGTGGTGTGCTGTCTTTAACTTGCTTTTGGAGTATAAGCCACGGCAATGAAGCCCATGGGTGGTGTCTTCACTTTCCCTACTATTGTTTTAAAGGCAAAGCCTGGAAATCGGGGAAAAAAAGAAAACTAAATGTGACCAGCCATGTCTTTCAAGCTGGAAGATGCAACCGAGTTATTTAAAATAAGATGTCTGTACTAACTTCTAAAGAACAAAATACAAGTCAAATACTAAATAAATGTAAACAAGATGATGTTTAGAGCTTAAAAAGAGAAAGTGATGATACCACTATCCTACACAGAAATTTCAAACTGATCAGCAGAGGAAAATGATACATCATAAAACCGGAGCTATAAGGGGAAAAGAAAAGCAAGCACTGGCCATCATATCTCGACACACACGTGCATGTCTTTCTCTTTTCCAAAGCAAACCCCAGAGTGGTTAGTTAGGGTATGCACATTGACCCTGAACAATTTTGTTTGTTTCCGTCTGTAATCTCAGAAACCAATTAATTTTTAGCAGAGTTAAACTTCAATCTTTTGAGTTAAAATTACAGCACTATCATATTTGTCAGAGGACCCCAATAGCAACCACAACTAAAAGGGCCACATACGCTCTAAGTTCTTTTGCTCTAAGTCAAAAAGGCAACTAGTTTCCCTCCCAAAATCTGTAATCATAAAGTAGCCCTGAAATTTAAAAAAAAGAAAGAAAAAGAAAATCTCCAAGCACAAATTTGATTTAAAATTTGCCCGGGTCAGTACAGCACCCAAGATAGCAGGAGAAGCAAAATGTTTTTTTCCCTCTGGAAGAATCTGCCTTTAATCCAAGCCTGAAAAATTACCATAAAGTTCTGAGGAAAGGGAGCAGCCTATAAGCAAAAACCACAAAACCTCAAAATGATTAAGGCAACATGAGTGATTAAGAGTCAGATGTAAAAAATAAAAAGACAAATCCACCAAAAGACTTCATTATAG